TTTCTTTGCTTGTCTGCTGGGTGTTTAAGATAGTTACAATGAAAAAAAATCAGAAACAGATTACCAAAAAATACAGGTTGGGTATGATATGCAGGTATTTGGAAGTATTTGATGAGAAATGTAATTTGCTGCAGATGAACAAAAAACTAGTCATTCATGAATACTCAATTCATTACTAAATGAAAAGGCACTGCTCACAGTGTTTTTATCAATTTCAACTTGCAAGGTGTAAGAAAATGACCTCCCTAAACCACACTGCCGGAATGGATTTCATTCTTGTGGGACTCACAGACAGCCCAGTTCTGGAGAGAATCCTCTTTGTGGTGTTTCTGCTCATCTTTATCATCACAATTGCAGGAAACCTGTGTATGATTGTGCTGATCAGGACCGATTCCCACCTGCAAACACCCATGTATTTCTTCCTTGGGCACCTCTCCTTTGTAGACATTTGCTATTCTTCCAATGTTACTCCAAACATGCTACATGGTTTCATCTCAGACCACAAGACGATCACCTATGCTGGATGCTTCACACAGTGTCTACTCTTCATTGCTCTGGTGACCACTGAATTGTATATCCTTGCTTCAATGGCACTGGACCGCTATGTGGCCATCTGTAGTCCTTTGCATTACTGTACTAGGATGTCCAAGAATATTTGTATCTCTCTAGTCACATTCCCATATGTGTTTGGTTTCCTGAATGGGCTCTCTCAGACTCTGCTCACTTTCCATTTGTCTTTCTGTGGCTCCCGTGAAATCAACCACTTCTACTGTGCAGACCCTCCTCTCATCATGCTGGCCTGTTCTGATACTCAAGTCAAAAAGATGGCCATGTTTGTGGTAGCTGGATTTACTCTCATAAGCTCTCTCTTTATCATTCTTATGTCCTACTTAGGCATTTTTGCAGCCATCTTGAGGATGCATTCTGCTGATGGTAGACAAAAGGCCTTTTCTACCTGTGGTTCCCACCTGATAACAGTCACCATATATTATGGAACACTTTTCTGCATGTATTTAAAGCCGCCATCTGAAAAATCTATAGGGGAGTCCAAAGTGATTGCAGTTTTTTACACCTTTTTGAGCCCTTTGCTGAACCCTTTGATCTATAGCCTAAGGAATAAGGATGTCATCAATGCTATGAAGCAGCTGACTAAGGGAAATTCTGTCAGAAAATTTTAGTTTAGGAAGATGTTGATGTGTTGTTAGTTGGTATCTCTGATGACATAATACCCTTGTAGGATAAAGTTAGTATTTCAGAGTTACTACTTGTGTAACAGCACATACCTGTAATATCCTTTTTTGATAACAATTTCCTTTTTTACTTTAAACTTTTTAGTGCTACTTTTTAAAGAAAACTACCATATTGAAATTAGGAAATCAAAAAATTTCAGAGTTTACTTACTATTCAAGATTCCACATAATGACATTATTTTAATTCATATGATATTTAGTTTCTAACCAACTTGTCCTAAATATTACATGGTAACACTATACCCTAGCAATGATGACAAGCTTAAGTTTATGAAAACTTTCAAAAACAATAAGTGATTTTGTAGGTTTCCTAAACAGTGTCGATTTTTTTCTATTAAGAACACTACAAAATGAATGCTTTAATGCTTGATTCATCAATCAAATGGTATAAAGCAAATAAAGAATCATTACTTAAAACTATTGTTAATTCTCATTTTTGTATGACTGTTTCAATTATATATTATTAATGAAACAATGAAGGAGTCACTGTGTCTGTTTATAGCATGTGGGATCTATGGCACAGAAGTCAATATCCTTGTACAGAGGCTATCAATAGTACAATAGTATGAATAAAAATCCTGTATTTTCTCTTTCCCCCTCTGTTATTCTAACTTTGGGACCCATCAATTCTCAACCCAACAGAATGCTGGATGGGATATTGAAGATAATGGTTTCATAAGGTGAAACCATGCACTTACTGATGTGAATGAAAATTTAAAGATGGCTATGATGTCTGTTATTTTTTTAAATAAATCTCAAAGATATAGTTTTCTGATATTACCAGGTAAAATGATAATTTTGGCTATTTTAAACTTATTTTGTGGTTCATATGAAAATAGAGAAATTTTAACCATGAAGGCAGGATAAATGTGAAGAGAAAATTGATGATATTCATATCTAACACTATGAATGAGGTAGATTATGCTATTTCTATTTGTTTTAAATAAATTCATATTTATATGTTTCCATAAAGCTTATAAATAAAATTGAAATCTTATGTCATACATGAAAATCAATATTGATTTTCAGAAGAAAGTATCATGTCTATAATTAAACATAAATAATTCATTGTTTTATACTTAGTAAGGATCATTAGTTCTTCATAAAAACCTTGTAGTAAATATAGATTAACAAAAGTAAAATTAGTAAAAGACATAAGGTATCAAAACAACATTTACTTGTAGTTTCAACTAAAAGTGTTATAAAGTGATATAAAAATAATTTTAATATAGCATCCATGTACAAAATATTTTTATTATACTATCTCTGTTTAAATCTTCTCTTCATTTGGATGCATGCTTAATTAGAATTTCTGAATTAAATATTTTGTATATATATACATATTATTTTATTTTAAGGATTTTATTTTAAAATTTATTTTGCATATTTACTGCATTTCCTCCTCCATTTTATTTTAAAATTCATTTCGCATATTTACTGCAGTTCCTCCTCCATCCTCTCTCCCCACCCCCCCAACCCTTCTCCCATTCATCCTTCAGAAAGGGTGAGTCCTCCAATGGGGAGTTAACAAAGCCTGGCACATTCAGGTGAGCCATGGCTAAGCTCCTCCCCTCTACATCAAGACTGAGCAAGACATACTACCATAGGGAATGGGCTCCAAAAAACCAGCTCATGCTACAAGGATAGCTCTTGTTTCCACTGCAAGGGGTCTCACAAACAGAGCAAGCTACACAACTGTCTCCACATGCAGAGGGCCTAGTTATGTCCCATGAAGGCTTCCTGGTTGTTGTCTAGAGTCTGTGAGCTCCAAGGAGCTTCAATCAGCAGTCACTGAGGGTTTTGCTGTCATGATCTTGACCACCCTGGCTCCTGAAATCAATCCATTATTCCTCTCTCCAACTGGAGTCCCTTAGCATGATCACAAAGCAATTTTGAGTATTTTTAAAATCTATTTTCTTTGGTTTATTTTGTGCTTGTGTGGAGGGAAGGGAATCACAAGTGTTCAAATGCTGGTAGGCAGAGGTCAAAAAGCCAGTACATAAGAGGTGATTCTCACCTCCATTCTTGGAGTCCCAATGATTGATCTCAGAATCCATTATTACATCTCTTGAACATCATCTCATTGGTTCCATTTTGAGTGATTTTAAAGCTCTAAATTATTATGCTTTGATAAATAATATGTCTTAATACAAAAATAAAGAAAAATAGAAGTTTCTCAATGCTAAGAAAGATGAACCAGAATGGAGTGTCTATTTTCTATCTCAAAGTAGTAATGCTGTGGAATTGTTGGTTTGTATTTGCAAAGACTTTCCTAAAGATGGGAGAAGTACTGTTTACATATCAGTGGTATGGTATAATAAAACATATTATACCAATATTCGATTTTATTTTATTTTTTGTTTTTTGTTTTTTTTGTTTTGTTTTGTTTTTTCAAGACAGGGTTTCTCTGTGGCTTTGGAGACTGCCCTGGAACTAGCTCTTGTAGACCAGGCTGGTCTTGAACTCACAGAGATCCACCTGCGTCTGCCTCCAGAGTGCTGGGATTAAAGGCGTGTGCCACCAATGCCTGGCTAATATTCGATTTTCTTATACAAACTTTTTCAAAGCTAATATTAAATTGTTTCAAACAAACTGTAATTGTTATGGCCTAACTAAATATAAGATAGTGTACACATATATTTATTAATTTCTATATTGAAATTTGTGATTAATATGCAGAATTTTATAGCTAATAATACTGGTGGAACAAAAATGTTGTGAAACATTTTTATAAAATAGGAACGTTGACTAGAACCTGGAGAATGAAGGAGACCCTTACTACCACCTGGGAATCCCTGCTCTCAATGGGGAGAAGAAATCACAAGCCTTCCAGGCCCCTTATGGTACCAAGTGTTCCAATGTCATTATCGTGAACAAGTATATGGTGAACTATGGGAGAGAGAAGAGGCAAATGGTTCATATTCTATGAAGAGAGGCATTTCTGAAGAGGGTAAGGCAATAAGGAGCAAGCTGAGATGGGTGACATGTTTGCCACTTAGAGCCATGGTACCATCTGGGCTTGGGCTCTTGCCAAGGACCATGTCTGGGCCCATGGCCCTGCTGGAGCCATAGTCTATCTTAATGTCTGTGGCTCTTGCCAGTTCACTGTGGTTAGGATATGGCTGCACAGATTTGGCCCCATACTTCATTGGCTGCATTTCTCAGGAGAGTAGGCCCAGTACCTCTTTTGGGTAGTACAGTAGAGCTGTCTCTAATGATAGAGCATGGGTGAGAAGGCCCCAAGAGCATGAGTGTGGGGAAGCTGTCCCCACCCATCATCTTACATGTGGTGGTGAGAGAAAGATGCCCTCCCCAACCCTTACTGCCTATGGCAGGTAAGAGAGCTGACCCTGAAGTCATGAAAGCCGGAGAGCCAGTCTTGCCCCAGTTCACCTATTTATCCAGAGAACTGGCCCTGCCCCTTGCATGGGCAGCACAGTAAAGCTGAGTCTATTGGTGAGGATGCAGATGAGCTGGCCATATAATAGGGGAGATGCCCCTGTGCCCCCACATCTGCTATGTGGTGGCATGGGGGAGGGAAAGTTGCTCTTTCCCTTGTGCAACACCACCTGTGGCAGGTGAGATAGCTGAAGTCAGGGGCATGAGAGTAAGGAACTAACCCTGTACATAATCACCACCTGCAGTATTCAGGAGACTGGGCTCTGCACTATGTGAGGACAATACAGTAGAGCTAGCCTTGTTTGTGTGGATTCAGGTAAGTTGGTCCCAAGGGTGTGAGAACAGGAACACTCTTCACACTCCCTTGCTTCCTACTGCATTTGGTAAGCTAGCCAGGGCACTGTTTGAGAGCTTACTCTGAAGTTGAGGAAAAGGGAGAGCTTGTTGGCTAACAACCCAATGACCCTCCAGGGCTATGAATTGACTCAATCCAACAGTGAAAATAAAGCACATTGGAGCAATTAAAGGGATTGATCCTACAAATACAAAGGTGCAAGATCTTCATGACATAGGATATCCAAGAGGTCTCCCTATGAGGGTCCAGTATCAATAGTGTAACACAAGACAGAGCCTCACCCTGACCAATGACTCATGACAGTGAACACTTTCAAGTAAAGATTTATGGACTAATGGCTAAATTCTATGCCTTACTGGGCCACACTACAGTTTTCATGACATTTTTCCCTCTTAAATTTTATTTTATTTAATTTTGTCATGGGTGCCTGCAAGTGTAGAGGGTGGATATGAGGGGGCTAGGAGATAAAGGGGTTCATGAAGCAGGATGTGAAGTCCACAAAGAATCAATAAAGGTCCTTTTAATTATTCTAAAATTAGATTATTGTAATACCTGTAGAGTATTAAATGTTGTTGAATTGTACACTTTATTGGTGAATTGTATAGTTTATAAATTATCTCAAAGTTTACTAAAAGGCAAATGGTGAACCGTACACATGTAAATAGTTATTGTCTCTGAAAAAGACAACCTAAGACAGTCTCAGGACAGGATAGTCTGGATTTAATAGATACACACACACACACACACACACACACACACACACACACACACACACACACACACACACACACACACACACACACACACACACACACACAC